GTTCCCTCGGTCACATCACGGGGTCGGCCCTGAGCTGCTCGTGGTGTCCGTTCAGTCTTTATTTCCTTTGGGCCACATTGGATTTACCTTCTGTTCTGTCTTAACGGGAAGATAGAGTCGGCGTTCTGTAGATATTCTCCATTTCCTTCCTATTTTGCATCAAATTTCGATTTGCTTTTGTGATGAAAGGCTTTCCAAAAAGTACTTTTTGGTGCTGCTGAGGCAGCTTTCAGCTTGTTACCTAAAACCAATTGCCTTCCATGACTTCGGACAGAAACGAATCAGCTTTAATCTCATTCATTTTAGCGTTTAATCCCTTGCCACCGGGTTTACTTACCCATATATAAATACGACTTTATATAATATACATGATTTAAATGCAAACAATATGTTAATTTGTAAGATGCAGAGTGCATATGCATACATACACACCCTACATATTCATATCCATCGTTTTCCCTTCCTGTTGCAGTTATTACTGCAGTTCTACCTTCCCTGTCACACAGCCCCCTGGGCAGAGTAAACGTCCATGAACTCTGCACCCTCCCTGAAGGGTTGACCTGTGCTCCTTGCACTGAAAAGCAGCTCCTGCCTTTCTTGGTGTGTCCTCCTTGGCCCGATGCTTTTTCTTTTTTAACCCCAAATAATTTTTCAAAGCAGCCTCCTGGCCGGGAGTGCTGAGTGTTGCCTTCATGAGGGCTGGCTGGGACACAGAGACCGAGGCTTGACCCCATCTCTGGTCCTCGGGCCAAGCTGGGCCCATCTTTGGGTGAATTCATTTCAGGCTGAACTTTGTGTGAACCTGAGCCCGAGGGGAAGGGAACCCGACAGAGCAGGGCTGACAGAGGCAAGTTCTGAGCAAACCCATCAGCCTGAGTAAATATTGAACAAATCCGTGTGAAGGCTGGGATTGAAATGGAGCTGTCAGACCAGTGTAAACTGAAAGGATAGGTGAGCCCTCTGAAGAGCGAGGAAACATTTTGTACACTCACTTCTGCGATTGTTCCTTCCACCCCAACCCTTTGCCCCAGACCTCATTTCACCTGCCTAAGAGGCTAATGCAACCCTGGGGCTGCTCGGCGCTAAAATGCCTGTGTTGGTGGAAGAGAATAGCCGGGGGGGGGGAGGGAAGGGGGCAGAGGGGAATTAAAGAAGGAAGGGGATCGCGCCGTCGAGTGTTCCTTTCAGTGTAATGAGCAGGGAGGGGTGGGAGGTGGGTTTACAGCTGATATCCGACACGAAATAACAGGACAGAGGTGCCCCGACTTCAACCCAGGTGACCTATGCAACCTCAACCCTCCAAACCAAATAACGCTGTCCGTTGGTTATTAAATACAAACGAATTAGGCCATCTGTAAACATACATAACCCGGAGAAACAGACGTGTGCCCATCTCCTCGGGTGCTGCAGGGCTGCGTGGTGGGGGTCATCCCGGTGGGGGCTGGAAGAGCTGCACTCACCCATCGCTCCCTGCAGCTCTTCTACCCGATCCTCCGTACGTGGCAGTGACACCTAAAAACGTGCTCGCCTCACAAGCATTGAGAAAACCTATCAGGCATGAAAATCTCTTTTGCTTTACCTTCGGCAGTGTTAGGGTGTAAGCAAGTGTGTGGATACTTCGCTGCCCCGGTGCTGCTTGCAGAAGCTGGATCAAAGTCGGTCCCACTCTGGTTTTGTGGAGATCCAGGATGGGGGAGGCTCCTGTACTTATCTTTATGCTCGAAACAAGTTTGTAAAAATCGGGAAGGCTTCGAGCCCTGTTGTCCCTCACTTCAAGGCATGAAAGGCTTTTAGGGGTCGGCAATAGCCCAGCCCTGCCAGAACCCACCGAGGGAAGGTTTGTTCCCGGAGCGACCCCCAGGAAAGCTTCACACCTTAAGTGCGAAGAGGCTTTGGAAACAGAGTTAAGAGCAGCCAGCAAAGAGGAGTTGAAAGTGAGGAAGTCTTCGGGGTATTATTGTTATTATTATTATTATTTTTTAATAGAATGTCCTCTTCTGAGATCAAAAGGGCCTCGCGTTGTGAGAACAAATGCTTTAAGAGAAACATTTCACACCAAGGGGTAAAGGAACAGATGGCCCCGGGGTATCCGCCGCGGTCACCGGGTTTGCCCCTCGGGTCTGGGAGCAGAGAGAGGGGCAATCCGCGTCTCTTCTCTGTCCCCTCCTCCCGCAGGGGGACGACAGCTCCAACACAGAGACTGCCGTTAATAATTTACAAGGTTACTCCGCTTTAACTGGGGGTTTTCCCTTTCCTTTGGGATATTAAAGGCATTAATCTCCATTAAGACGCATCTTTGTTTGGAAACGCATAGGGGCATTTGGCTAATTTTCCTGCCACGGACCCACGGAAGGTACAGACACACGTGGAGATATGGGAACAGCCACGTCGTTGTGTATCAATTATATGCATGGAACTCAGATTTGCGATAAAATCAAGCTGTGGTGACAGGGCTGAATATCGACTGGGAATTCCGCACGCAGAGCAGGGGATGTTTGAGGGTACTTCTGCCTTTGTAGCTCACATCGATGGACTTTAGTAAGAAAAGGAGCTCGTGTCCCATAAAGACACCCGCGTAGGGTTAACATACACGTGGGCATCACCATTCTGTTCCCTTTTACCCCTTTCTCGGAGCGTGGGGCGGACACGCGTGTCCCTCTCTGCTCACCAAAGCTGTCCCGAATTGGCCTTTCCAGGCTTCTCCTGCTTCCCAGCAGTGAGTTTCGGGCTTTGGAGACAAAAGGGAGCGTGAGAAACTTGGAGGGAGAGTTCGGGGAAAGAGATCTGAGTTGCATGGGATGATCGCTGTGAAAGGAACACGGCTTGGCAACGAGGGAAGCAAAGGGAAAGGGGTGAAGGGGAAGGCCGGAGGGGGTTACATATGTAAGGAGCAGCGGCACCGTTTTTTGCGGATCCTTCCGGAGATTCCCTTTGAGTTTCAAATGGGAGCCGGGAGCCTTTGTTGTGCCCGACTTCGGCACTTCGAGCATCTCCTCTTGGCCCGAACTTTTCGCTCTTTCCCGACCCTTCGCCGTGCACCGATCCGTGCTCACCTGGGGGGGAGGGGAGCTCCGACCCCTTCCCAGCCCGGAGCTGAAGAGACAACAGGGGACAAAAACATCCCAGTGGAAACCAATGAGCGCAATCCCGTGTTCACGAGAAACTTGAAATCACACAGATTCAATCGCATCGGTTCAACGAAAAGGTTAAAGCAAGCTGAACTCGTGGCCAACACATTACGAAACCAGAGTGGCTGCGTTTTTACTTTTGGACCTCACTCCCCTTGTTTTGCAAACCGCTATAGTGCAACAAAACCACAAAACACCCTTTTCACCTTTTCCTCTTTTTTTTTTTTTTTCCTCTTATCTCTGAGCTAATTGGACACTCCAGATCTTTTCTTCCGAGCCAAAGAGATGAATTACCCGAGGCAGGATTGTGCTGCCGGAGTAGAGCGATGCTCATCGCCTCCGGACGGGCCAGTCAGGGCTGCAAATGCAGCAGGTACTGAGTTCATTCCTGCCCTCACCGAAAAGGTTTGCAAATTTGACGAAGCCAGAACAATAGTTTCTCCTGGCAGCCCCTCTGTTTACTTGTTTAGAAATCCCGGAGGCGTTTCGAGGTAAAAAGGTCAGAGCTATATCCGGACCTCGGCCCCCTCCCTCTGCACCCGGCATTGGGAGGTTCGGGCCCTCCGCCCGCTCCCGTGTGTGTCTGTGCTTTGCAAAACACCCCTTTTGCTTTCGGGGACCGCCTTTAGAAGCCGAAGACATAAAACCGAACTGACACTTCGTTTCACTTCGGGGTTGGGTCAAGCTTTAAGGAATTGTTTTGTATAATTGAGAAAATCGCCTTCCCCCCCCCCCCCCCACCCCCCCCCCCCCCCCCCCCCCCCCCCCCGACCCCCAGTTTCGTTCCAGTTAACGTCGCTGCTTTAGTAATGCAGATGTGCTTCCTTGCCAGGATGCTGATAATGAGGACGACGGTAACTTTCTGTTCTCATCAGGCCCTTTTTTACACTTTATGTCGTCAAATAACTCCCCGTAGGGAACAACGCGTTTCTACCCGGTCCCGATCGTGCAGCTGCGGGTGCCATAACGGGGGTGGGGGCCATAGAATCCCCCCAGGAAACAAGACGGAGCACTTGGCTTGGAAGCTTTGGCAGCAGCCAGAGACCTTTTCCTTCCTCCTCCTCCCTCCAAGCCCGGCTGCCCTCCCCGTGCGTTTCCCTGGGTGGGGGAGATCGCCATTCCGCTTAGAGCCGACAGGACTCGAATGTGGAAAAAGTAAACTTTATTAAACTGAGGTAGTTTCATTTCGAAAAAAACAGGGAAGGGAGTGGAGGGAAAACAGATTCCGATTAAGAAACCGCAGGCTTTTCAAGATGACCTTTTATCTCTTTATAACAATCTTTAACGAAACTCGCCGTGGTTTTCACTTCGCCCTGCGCTAAAGCTTCTGGTGGCAAAGGGTAACAACTGGCCGTGGTTAATAATGTTTTTATCGGACTCCGATAAACCTAAAGGGGGTGGGGATACGAGGAACCGTGCAACTTCACTCCAAGACATGAGGCTATCGAGACGTATAATAAATAGCAGTCAGTGCATCGCGGCTGGGGGAGAGCAGTGCGGACCCCCCCGGCCTCCGTCCCGTGCACGTTCACACTCGGTGCGGCAATGACCGTCGCCCAAAGCACCCCGGGCTCAGCCTTCCCCTTATCTCGTTTTATCTGATAGCACAACGCTCTCACCCCCAGGATCAGTAATACAGGAGGAGAGCGTGTAGGAAACCCTGTATAAAGCGGCGATAGTGCAAAATGGCAGCAGAGGAGTTGCATTTTTGCTTTGTTTCTTTTTTTTTTTTTCGGGTCTTCCCGGAGACCTTCAACGTCTTGGGCTCTTTTCGAGATACACAGAGTAAATATAAAATGGGGAATAAAAAGAAAGCACCCCGAACTTTTTTTTTTTTTTTTTTTTTTTTTTAAACCATCTCGCGGGGAGGAATAATACAGCAAACTCGGGATGCGTGTGGACAAAAGTCGTTGTGCGCATCTTTAAAGCAGGAGAGAACTAAAATTCGTTTTCAAGTTTCTGTAGTTGAAAGTGCAGTTCCTATTGGGAAGGGGAGAAGGGAGAAACGTCCCTGAGACAAACGCCTATTGCTAAGGATAAAACGAGGACACGGCAGCTCCTTTGGAGTCCAACGTTTAACGGAGGGTCTATAAATTAAGAGAGGAAGGCAAACGGGGAATGGGCACCGCACGGGTGGATGCGGTCGGAGCCGAAGGGGCGGCTCGGAGGGAAGCGTGTGCGGCCGGGGCTGTGCGGGGCTGTGCGGGTGGGGCTGCGGGGATCAGCGGGGAGCAGCGGCCCTCGAAGGCAGCCCCGATCGTTGTGCCGGTCCTCAGGAGGACACGGAGCTGGGAGAGGCCTCAGGTGAGGTGCAGTTGGACTGATCCGAAGCTTCACTCGCTTCCTTCGCAGACCTGGAGGCAGCAGGAGGGGCGAGACCTTCCTTTTCCCTCTTCTTCTGTTTCATTCGCCTGTTCTGGAACCAGATCTTGACTTGGGTTTCGTTGAGCTCCAGTGTAGCGGCGATTTCCACCCTCCGGGCCCGGGTGAGGTACTTGTTAAAGTGAAATTCTTTCTCCAGCTCCGTCAGCTGTTTGGTGGTGAAGTTGGTGCGAATGGTGTTGGGTTGGCCCAGCAGCCCGTATTCCGACACTTTGGCTGTAAGGAGCAAAAAAAAAACAGGGTAGAAGCAACAGAAGGAGAGCCCTATATGGGCCTGGGGGTCCCGGGGCTGTCTGATGGAAGGGGCATCCCTTGTGCTTTGTGTTGGGCCCCCACCTCTTGCGGCTTCTGAGCCACCCCTGGCTTTCCAGGGATGTAACCCGGAGGGAAATGCTGCCCCGGGATCTGCAGAGTTGCTCCTTTCTCTTGCAAACGGTCATCCCAGCTCCTTGCAAAGTGCCATGAAACTTGAACGTGCGTGGGAAGGAGTGGAAGGGGAGGGGGGATGATGGTGGGGGAGAGGAGGGAAGTTCCGGATTTAAGGAAGGTTTTAGAGAAGGATGTTGAACAATGAGGGAGGTGGAAGCCACCTTTGTGGAGGAAGCAGGAAACTGGGAGTGTTTCCTATTCTGAGCTGGACTTAAACTGCGTTGGGCCTGAGGGCAAATGAGCTCATGGACCCTCTGCCAGGTGTGCCTGAAAAATCGCTAGCTGGTTTTTCTATAGAGCTTGAAAATAAGAATAAAAACGCATCTTCCTCAGGCAAAGGAGCCCAATGACCTCGAGCAGAAACCCCGGGGAGGGCAACATTTCGTAGCAGAGCTGCAGAACGCCCTGCCCCCCTTTCCCTCCCCTCGCACTTCTCCTCAGCCCGGATGGGAACCCCCCCGCCGAGCCCTGCGCTCCCCAAACTCACCTGTCTTGGGGGGGTTCCTCTTCACTTTCATCCAATCGAAGGTCCGCGCAGCGCTGGCGTTGGGGCACGGCTCGGAGGGGCACGCGGGGTCTTTGTCCTCATTTAGGGAAGGCGAGAGGTTGCCGTAAACCCCGGGCAAGTAACCGGGCTGCTCCTGCCCGTAAAGGTGCTGTTGCTGCTGGTACTGCCCTACGGCACCGCAATAACCCTCTGGCAAGGAGCCGAGGTGGGGTCCGGTGCTGGAGGAATAACCGGCAGCCTGGAAGTACAAGCCATCCGCGTCCTGCTGGCCGAGGTAAAGCTGGTGGTGCCCGTAGCCGGGGCTGCAGTTTTGGGTTGGGTAGCCGGAACTCGGGGCAGCGGCTGCGAAGGGCACGGAGCGCCCGGAGGCGGAGGGGAAAAAGCCGGGGCTCTGCGGTGGGAGATGGGCGGCCGAACCCGCGTTGCCCCCAGCACCGAAGCGCCCTTCTCCATGAAAAGTGTCACTGGAGGGGCTACCTGAGCAAGAGGGGAAGGAAGGGGAGCTTTGCTCTAAATGGTGGTAGGCGCCCGTCCCACGGTTACAAATTGCATACTCTAAGAAGGAGTTCATCCTAGTATTGTCCATCTGCCACTGATGGAGGAGGGTCAGCCTGTTTTGGGGGGGATTCCGCCTGCCCTACAACCTTTAGATAGTATGTCAAAGCTGTAAAACTTCCTTCCATGCATCGCTGGCCCTCGAAACCCGGAGCCTTCGGTGGGGCTGGGGTGGGGGCGGGGGGCCACGTGGTCCGCCCCCAACCCAATGAGCGAGGGGCTCCTGAAGTTTGTCACATCTCTGAGCTCATCCATCAAGGAGATGACATTTACATGACAAAGGGGTTTCAATCAAACCCTGCCCATCAATCTGATAACAACACGAATACGTCAAAATCTTTCCTCAAAGACTTTAAAAGAGAGGAGGGAGGTGGGGTGCGGGGAGGTGACGACGAAAAGGGGATTGGGGGAAGAATTAGAATGATCTACGACTGTTTTAAGTGCTAAAAAAGCTCCCGAGCGATGTGGTTAGCCAATTTCAGCAGAATTTCCCCTTCCTCAACTTAAAAAAGGTTTTCTCCGATCTTAGTTTCACCTGAAAGGAAGACAAGGGAAAAAGAGGTAGGGAGGTCTGACTGCTTCCTCCCTCCACAGCCCCAACGACAAAAGGATGCTCTTTTCTTCATTGCGAAACTTTCCCTTGAAAAGTGGCTTGAACTTATTTGGAACTTTCTGGGCTAAAAGTTCCTATGACAAATTCGCTCTACGTGCTTTAATTTCGTCACTCCGGCTTTGTGTGTAGGGCCAGTGTGGGTAAAAGCAACGTAATTAAATCTGTATTCTAATGAGGTGGTGAAATAAAGTTAGGAAGACAGAATGTCTTTTGTTGGAGAAACACCATGCCCAGCTTAGCAACTGGAGCAGAGGAGCTAAAAATCACATATGTCTCTTTACTAACCCCACAATTCTTTCTATCCATCCTTTCTCCCATGTACCTTTGCATCCACTTCTGAGAACACGAGAGATTTTTAAGGGCTGTAACCGATAGGTTTAGGGGCTGCAACTTCAAGCTCTGCTTTCCTACACTGAATCTGCTTTGACCTCTCCCTGAGTCTGTTGTGAGCCTGGAGCTTTCCTTTAGCAGAGCTCATCTGATGAGTAGGTGGAAAGGCATTGACTTCAGCCCGGCCACTCCACTGTTCAGAGAATGGAAACATAGGTAGGCAACATTTATTTACTTGTTAGCAGAGGGAAGACAAGAGCACCCAACAATATGACGCCCACAGTCATTTGTTACTTGTCAGGATATTTACTGGTTATTCAGCCTCTAGGAAGAGCCAGGAAGCCCCCCCCCCCCCTCTTTTTTTTTCCCCTCCCTCCTTAAATCGGGCCAAAAGTTCACTTTGAAAGGCATAAACACGTTCTTTAATGCAGAGCTTTGGTGTGGCTGATGCAACCCGTTGGGATGGCATTTGTTAAGCAACTGCAATAGCATCAGCCC